AACTAAAAAAAAATTTGAAAACAAAACGAAAATCCCCTCACCCAGTTGGGTGTGGTGGTATATGTCTGATTCCAGTGACTTGGGAGGCTGAGGTAGGAGGATTTAAAGTTCAAAGCTGCCTCAGCAACTTAGCAAGACTCTGTCTCAAAATAAAAACTAAAAAGGGCTGGGCTTGTAGCTCAGTGGTAAAATGTTCTCTAGTACAAAAATAAAAAAAAAAAAAAACTCATGCAAAAAAAATAAATAAAATAAAGAGGAGTTACAGAAGTCCTTTCTCAGGAGGACTATGATTATATTCTTCTTTTCTATAATTTGTATTAGGCACAGTATAGGCCCCTATTTCCTTACTCACAATACCAAAATCCAAATTGCATTGATTGAAAAAAAAAATTGCTCTCTTTGGGTTTGTTGCCCTAGAATTCATTTGGAAGCAGACTACCTGCACAGATGTGAGGTTATTTATAGTCCTAATTGATTCACTTGGTGTGAAGATTCATATTCGGCTGCCAAAGTCCTAATGTGTTTTATTACAGGGTGCTGCCCTGGGCCCACTGGAGGTGTGATGTAATTTTGTGGCATATGCACCATATTACCTTCCTAAAATAAAAACAGAAATGAAAGCCTAAAGTCCAAAACCAGTCTGCCTCCAGGGCTTGGGTTACCTCTATAAAGAAGATAATATTTTATGTTATCTTAAAAAGCCGAGCCCCTGTCTGGAGGTGTAGCATGTGTGAGGCCCTGAGTTTCGTCCCCAGTAGCGAAAATAACAAAACAAATCAGACCTCCACCTGTGCGACCATGGTGAGCCTAATGGTGTGGATAGCCCTGCCCCATTTCTCCGGCCATGGGTCTTCCCTGCTCCACCGTGACCACTGAAACCGCTCCACCCATCTGAACCCTCTCTCCTCCTCTCCTCCACTCATCACAGCAGATGAGCTCACCTCCTGCTTTACAAGGTAAACACAGGTCACCAAGTCAGAAGCTCTCTCTACCTACACAGGCAGAAACTGAATGTACGAACTTGCCTGCTGATACCCATCCTTGTCCCCCTTCTCTCTCCAACTAATGGATAGCCAGGAACTCAGAGAGGCTCTTATGGAAGGCAGCTCCACCCAGCCCATATCCCTGCCTTCCATCAGCTTTTAAATATAGCATGGTGAAGCTTTTCCATCCCACAAAGACCATGCAACCTGCAAATGAGCAATCCTCACTGACTCCATGGCCGTCTCCTGATAATGCCCTTCTCCCTTCCATCCCAAGGTTACCTGCCCAGGGACTTACCTGTGTATTACCTCCACTTTCTCTGCTCTGCTTCCTTCCTCTCCTCCTTCCACCTGACGTCCAGACCCTCAGTCCCTGAACAGCCCTCCTGGGACCTCTGTGCTGCTGACTCTCTACCTTGGCATCTGCCACTGGGCAGCACTGGCCTTTCCTGCTCACCTCTCTCCCTAGAATTTGCTCCTGCCTGCTTCTCTAGCTCCCTTGGAGAAGATCCTTCCTCTTCCCTGCATTAAATTTTATAAACTGACTGGTCTGGCTCTGGCCTCTTCTCACTGTCCATCCACTGCCTGCTCCACACAACTACACCTCCAGCTGTGCTCTCTCCTCGGAAGCCCAGACTCATTTGCCCAGCTGCCTGCTTGGCAGCTCCTCCAGGAGATCTTTTGTTACCCACCTTTGGTACTGGGGATTGAACCCAGGGGCATTTACCACTGAGCCACATGCTCATCCCTTTTTATTTTGAGTCAGGGTCTCACTAAGTTGCTTAGGGCCTTGCTAAGATGCTGAGGCCGGTGGCTTCAAACTTGCAATCCTCCTGCCTCCCAAGCCGCTGGGATTACAGGTGTGCGCCACTGTACCTGGCTCTTCTGCAGAATGTCTTATGAACACGTTAAGCTCAACCTATGCAGAGCTAATGTCCTGTCAGCCCTGCGCAACCCCACCATCCTGCTCCTCTTCCCTGTTCCATTTCCACATGCTCAACACGCAGGCCAGAAATGTGGCTGTCACTTTTCCTCTTCCTCTCCAATCCATCCCTAAGGTCTTTTTGGTGTCTTCTGCTTGAATTCCTCCATCAGCAGCACCTGCCCCTGGGCAAAGCCACCACCTCCTGCCTCCTGGACCCCAGATGGTGCTTCCTCATGTCTCCTGTGCTGCATCCGCGACTCTTTTGGAAATGCACATCTGATTGTGTCCTTCTTCTTCAACCCTTTCATGATTTCCTGGATCAAGAGCTTTCTTAGGATAAAGACAGGAAATTGCTCCAGGCTCTTGACTCCTCTGCCTCTCCCAGCCTCACCTGTACCCTCTCCTTATTGTCCCCTGCTGGCCACCTCCATTTCCCTTTGCACACCACCCTCTGTGCCCCTCCAGGACCTGTGCCCAAGTGCTTTCCCAGCCCCCACAGCCCCTGTCAGATGTTTGCTCCCTGGTCTCCTGGCTCATGCTGACCCCCTGCTACGGGCTCTCTGGGCATTAGGTGTCTGGCCTTCAGAGCCCTTGTCACATTTGCAGTTTGACATCTGTTGGTGGGATCATTTGACCAAGGTCCATCTCTCCAACTGGAGCATAAACTCCCCGAATCCTGGGAGCCTGCCCACTTTCTCTCCCGTGGGTCCCTGCCTGGAGAAACAGACACTTAAAGAAAAATGGATGTAAAAAGGCTTTGGAAATTGCCTACACCATCCAAATGCCAGTGTGGTTCAGGCCCTCATCAGGCCTAAGGGCAGAAAGAGCCTTAGGTAAGGGCTGTCTCTGTCCAGGAAGTGTCTGGTCCTATGTGCCAAGTGGTGCACTGGGGTGGGGGGCTTCTGTGACCTGGAGAGTGTAGACGTGTGTGGATGAGCCTTGGACCTCTTTTTCTGAGAAAGGGGAGATTGGGAAGGCAGGAGGAGGCAGAGGAAATGTCAAGAAGACATGGGTTTTTTCCAGTTCTCTTGTACTCTTGGGAAGGCTATTCACTGCACACGATAGTCTAAATGAATGGCGCTCCCTAGAGTTGTGCACCACACAACCATATGTGATGGCCTTGGCCGTGTTCCTTAGTCTGACAGCTCCATGGCAAGAAATACAGCAGTTAAAATTAACTGAGAATTTACTATGTAAGCATTCAACATTTATTTTATCTCGCTTAGTCCTCACAATAATCCTCTGAAGCCGATGCTTTTGTTATGTATGCTTTGCACTTGGGGATACTGCTTAGAGGGGTTAGATGAACTGCCCAAGTTCAACAGCTTCTCTTTTTTTGTTTGGTACCGGGGTTTGAACCCATGCCCAGTCCTTTTTCATATTTTACTTAGAGACAGGGTTTCACTGAGTTGTTTAGGGCCTCCCTAAGTTGCTGAGGCTGGCTTTGAACTCACTATCCTCTCGCCTAAGCCTGACCTACTGGGATTACAGGTATGAACTCAGTTGAGGCTGAGGAAAGGGGGTGTGGAGGGAAGCCCCTGCACATGAGTAAGCCTGTGTCTCTTTCCTCCCCCACCCCACAGCTGGACAAGATGCTGGATCCCCAGGTGTGGCGGGAAGCAGCCACACAGGTCTTCTTTGCCCTGGGGCTGGGTTTCGGTGGGGTCATCGCCTTCTCCAGCTACAACAAGCAGGACAACAACTGCCACTTTGATGCTGCTCTGGTGTCCTTCATCAACTTCTTCACCTCGGTGTTGGCCACCCTCGTGGTGTTTGCTGTGCTGGGCTTCAAGGCCAACATCATGAATGAAAAGTGTGTGGTCGAGTAGGTGGCTTCTCTCCCCTGGTCCCTCCTTCCCTGCCCACCACAGCCAGGAGTGGGCAGGCGGCCATGCAGGCAGATAGTTCCCCCCACTTCACTGAGCAATAAGATGCACACATGCAGCATCCTCTGTCCCCAGCCCGGGGCCCACAGGGACCTGTCTGGGTGTCTGGGAGGTGCCCCATGACCTCACTCCTGTCTTCCTACCTGGCATTCTTCCCTTTGTGCTGCAGGAATGCTGAGAAAATCTTAGGGTACCTCAACTCCAACGTCCTGAGCCGGGACCTCATCCCGCCTCACGTCAACTTCTCCCACCTGACCACCAAGGACTATGCGGAGATGTACAACGTCATCATGACCGTGAAGGAGGACCGGTTCTCAGCCCTGGGCCTAGATCCCTGCCTCCTGGAAGATGAGTTGGACAAGGTATGTGGATAGGCTGCCCTTCCCAGGACAGGCAGGAACCCAGGGATGGGCCGCAGGTGGCTGGAGCTTGGGCACAGGCCTTGGAGAACCCCTGGGAGTCAGTAGTCTACATGGCAGGTCAGGACCTACTGTGTGTCCACAAGAAGAGAGAGGGAGGAAGGTGTCAGCCAGTGGTGCCCTGAACTAGGTGTAAATCTAAACGAGCAACAGAGGGAACCACGGAAACCAGTCAGTGTGGGGTGACTTCCTATATAACAGATGGGCTTCTGTGAGCTGGGTACTGTGTGTGAAATGCACTGTACTCTTGTGTGAAATAGACACATTAGTGTCTTCCCTTTGCTCTCCATCTCCTGTGAACCTCGTGGTAGCCCGATGAGTTGGGTTTTAATATTGTCCCCTACTTTACCAATGAATAGTCTGCAAGTTGGGGGACTTGATCAAGGTCTCAAATGAGTAAGTGGGCCAGCCAGGTTCAAATCCAGGTGGTCAGATCCAGAGCATGGGTTCTGGCCCACCCCTTGTAGCTTCCACCCCCTTGCCCAGCTGTGCCCACTCCAGCTGCCATGGCCATGATGACCTTTAGGTGGAAAGATGTTGTCCCCTCATTAGCTCAGGCCCAAGTTTGGGCACCTTGTTTCTATTTCTGTTTACATAGCTGGGGCACTTTTCAAAACAACTTTCTGTTAGAAGGGGTCATCAGACAGAGAGATACCCATAGGGTCCAGGAAACCTGGCTGGAGCTGAGGCTTACATGGGACAGAGCCAGCTCCCATAGGCTTGTGCCGACTGTGCCCTTCTTCATGGGACCAGAAGCTTCCTCTAAATCCTACCTGAGCTCCATGTCAAAAAAGTCAGCTCCACTGGAGCAAGGGAGCTGCATTCACATCCCTGACCTCTTCCCAGGGGACAAGAGCAAATGAGGACAATCTGGGGACCCCTGGCTGTTTTTTCCTCCAGGTGACAAGTAGAAGACAGGACATGCCCTTCCATGTTCCATGAAAGCCTGCCCCATTCTTTTGGGTTGTGAATAAAACTAGGGTTATAGCAGTTCTTCAATACCCTACAACCTCAATAGTACCCAACTGTCACTTGCTCAGGTGGGGCACACATTCCTTCACAATTATTGGCCACCACAGGACAACATGGCTGAGATGTCAGCAGCAGTTCCGTAGCTTGTCTTCCTATTAGAGTCACCTGGGGGGGCCTTTGTAAAGCCCCAAAGCAGCATCATCCCAGACCCATTAAATCACTGTCCCTGGGAGGCGACTTAGGCGTCAGTGATTTTAAAGACTCCAGTTTGCTTCCAGTGGCCACACCTGAGGCCATGGTATTAGAGTCTGGAGTTCAGAAGCTCAGAGCTGGGGGCAGCAGGGGTGGCTGGGGCCATCAGGGAAGATGTCTTAGAAGGGCAGGGTCTTGTGCTGGGTGTATTCCCAGACATGAGCAAATTCATCTGAATGACTCTGATCCTTATACCACCTGTAGATTCCAGCTCCCCACCCTGGAAGTCCAGAATTGGGGCTTTCATACCCACCACAAGGAGATTCTGATGCCTACTCAGTTTAAGACCATGACCCCCACCAGCAGGATTCAGGTGGAGGTGGGGAGTCCCTGTGCAGGAGGGAACAGTGATTCCTAAAGCTCCCGGGGCAGTGGTAAGGCAGCAGGGGGTTCCTGGGTGGGGTGGCCCTCACAGGCCCTTGCTCTCCCCCCTACCCTCAGTCCGTGCAGGGCACAGGCCTGGCCTTCATCGCCTTCACGGAGGCCATGACGCACTTCCCCGCCTCCCCATTCTGGTCCGTCATGTTCTTCCTGATGCTTATCAACCTGGGCCTGGGCAGCATGATTGGGACCATGGCGGGCATCACCACGCCCATCATTGACACATTCAAGGTGCCTAAGGAGATATTTACAGGTAACTCTTCCCTGCAGCCCTACCTGGTCCCACAGCTGCCCACACAGATGCAATAATCGGGTTCTTGCTCTCACTTCAGAAAATCTGGGTTCTGACTGGGTCATTCAGGACCTCAGGCCCAGAAGACCCTGCACCCCTCCTTCATCAGGATAAAGCAAGAACCTGGCTGTGGCACTTGGCCACCTGCACTTAGGAGCCAGGGGGACAAAGCCATTTGGAAATCTGGGCCAACCCTGGGCTACGGCCCTTGCTGGGTTTGCTTGCCCACCTCCCAAGGGCCTGCTGACTTGTCTTAGGCAGGGATGCCCCCTCTCTGCATCCTGTTCCACCCTCTGCCCTACTGAGTTGAGCTGGGCTCTCACCTGCATCCCCAGCAAGGAGCATCTTGCTGTTCTCAAATGGGGAAACTGAGGTGGAGAAAAAGAGCCTGGGAACACTCAGAAGAACCATTTAAGTTTAATACAGCAATTAAGTGGAGCAGCTGCTATGGGGTAGGGGCTATGCTAGGGGCAGGACTATGGGAGAAGAGAGGAGACCCATGCCTTCCTCAAGATGTTCCCTCCTGGTAGATGGGGAGCTCAGCACCTCAGCATGGGGTCCCTCCTGCATGGCTGTACCTCCTGGGGGAACAGTGTGATGGGAGGGACCTGGGTGCCCCCACAGACCCCCAGGGCCCTGCCCACCCTGCACCTTTGCCCCCACACCGGCCTCCCGGCTCTCTGTAGTGGGCTGCTGTGTCTTTGCATTCTTCGTGGGGCTGTTGTTCGTCCAGCGCTCCGGAAACTACTTTGTCACCATGTTTGATGACTACTCGGCCACCCTGCCACTCACCGTCATCGTCATCCTTGAGAACATCGCTGTGGCTTGGATCTATGGAACCAAGAAGTAAGGGGGACAAGCAGGGAAGAGGTGGGGTGTGGAGGAGGGTCCTATCCCACCATGATTTCCTGGCGAGTCCCGTGTTCCCAGTGTCGCTTGCAGATTGGGGCGGGAGATTATAGAATCCAAATGTCAGAGTTAAAACCCTGCCTTTTAAGCTAGGCGCGGTGGTACACGACTGTGATCCATGGATCCTTGATCCTGAGGCAGTAGGATGGCGAGTTCAAAGCCAGCCTCTGCAACAGTGAGGCGCTAAGCAACTCAGTGAGGCCCTGTCTCTAAATAGAATACAAAATAGGGCTGGGGATGAGGCTCAGTGTTGAGTACCCCTGAGTTCAATCCCCAGTACCAAAAAACCCCCAAACAACAACAACAACAAAAAGTCCTGCCTTTTAGCATGGGAAACTGAGACCTAGAGAGAGTCATGGCTACCCAGGCCTCTTGGCTAGTGAGAGCTAAAGTCAGGCAGAGGTCCTGTGTTTAGGTTCTGAGACCAGCCTAAAGTTTCGTAAATTACCACAGTCCCTTTCCTGAACACCTGTCCTTTATCAGAATTCTGCTAAGCTTGTTAAGCACTTGGTGGAGGCACCAGGGTCCCCAGTGCTCAAAGAACTTGTAGATTTCAGCAGCCTGATTCTCAAAATTGTGATTTGGGCCTCAAATTTGGGTTCAGGCAAGGTAAGAGGATTCAGCAATAAGAAAGGATGGAGTGTCATGGCCTACCGCTAAGGTAGACTTCCACTCACTGTCAGCTCCTGACCTCATCCCTCCTTTAAGGAAAAAATCGGTGTCCCCAAGAAGCTCCAGGACTAGGCCCTTCCTACTCTCTCAGCTCCAGAAGTGGCCCCACTGTCCTTCTGGGCAAGGCCCAGGGTCCTCTTCTAACCACTCAGTCTGGCCCTCCCTGATGCCTAGACCTGGATTGGGAATGGGGGCTCTCTCACAGGGATGGTCTGCTTCTTAAGAGAGTGCAGGAGGGACAGGAAGGGGTAAGAGAGGAGCACTCCCAGACAGGCACAGTGGTGCACACCTGTAGTCCCAGCGACTCAGGAGCCCAGGGCAGGAGGATCACAAGTTCAAGGCCAGCCTGGCAACTCAACAAGACCCTGTCTGAAAGTAAAATAATCAATCAATTAAGAAGGCTAGGGATATAGCTTAGTGGTAGAGCACTTGTGTAGCATGCATGAAGCCCTGAGTTCAATCACCAGTATTAAAAAACAAGAGTGGGGCAGGGGGTGGGTGGTGTGTAGTGGGCTGCTGCACCCACCACCCAACCCTGGGTTGGAAGACACTGCTAGAGGGGCTCTGATTACACATGCCATGGGCTCCTTTGGCATTCTGATGAATATTATTTTTTAAATGCATAGGATAAAATATATAGGATTAGATAGGAAACGAATTATATTGAAAAATAACAAAATACTGTCTAAATCTATAAAACAGAAATGTACATGTACTTTATATGTATCACATAAAGCTACAAGATCTAGTTGTGGAAATAGTAATTTCAAAGAAGTGATGAATATAAATGAGGTTTCTAGGTATCTAACAACTGTAATGGAAAATTAAAATAGCTTGTGATTTCATCTATCTGGTGACAAAGTCACAGATACAGTTGACTCCTGTGGTTACGTGCATTTATAATAGGAGCAGTTGCCAGGTTTCAATGAGGTGGAATTGAGGTAAAGATGATTTTTGTGTACATTCAAATACACAGCCTGCCTGCCTCCTACAGTTCCAGCACAGAACCTACAGCTAGAAATCCCCAGTCAGGATGCTAGGGAAGTGCACTTTCATATTTTCTCCAGCAGGGGGAGACTTGAGCCAGGTCAGTTTGGGGGCCCAGGGCTCTGTGAACTGGAGCCCTCTAAGGGCCTGTCCCACTGGCCAGGGCATGTCTCTTGCCTCTGGGTGGAGCAGCTTGTAAGGTAGTCAGAGCAGGCCAGTCAGGCCTCACATCTGTGAGCATTGAAGATGAAGCCTAGAAAAGTCCAGGAGGGACTGATCAGAGAAGGTTTCCTGGAGGAGGTGGCCATGTGGGAAGGGGAGGCTCAGAGGTGCAGGTGCCAACTGCTGGCTTCTCTGCTGTGCCTGACAGGTTCATGCAGGAGCTGACAGAGATGCTGGGCTTCCGACCCTACCGCTTCTATTTCTACATGTGGAAGTTTGTGTCTCCACTGTGCATGGCTGTGCTCACCACGGCCAGTATCATCCAGCTGGGGGTGACACCCCCGGGCTACAGCGCCTGGATCAAGGAGGAGGTGAGGGGTGTTCTCCAGGGAAACCCAGGAACATTTGCATCTTCTTAGTGGTAGAGCACTTGTCTAGCATGCACGAAGCCCAGAGTTCAATCACCAGTACTAAAAACGAGAGCGAGATGGGGGGTGGTGGGGAGGAGGTGCAACAGGTCTTCGGAATAAACCTTTATACAGCAGCAATTCTGTGCCAGGCCCTGCTGGGTGCTTTGCACAGCTACTCTGGAATCTTTACAACAGCCCAAAGAGAAAGGTGGCATTGTCTCTATGGCACAAAGGAGGAAACTGAGTCTTTAACCCATATTCTCTCTCAGTGTCTATGGAGGAGTAGACACATTTTACATTCTACATTTTACAGATGTAGAAACAGAAGTTTAACTAAGGTGACCAGCTAAAAACCCAAGTAGCACCCTGGTGAGAGGAGTGGGAGGCCTTAGGCATGAGCAGGAAGAGGCTGGCCTAGAGGCCTGGGGCGGGAGGTAAATACTCAGTGCCGGCAGCAGCCCTCACTGCCACCTGCCTCCAGGCTGCAGAACGCTACCTGTATTTCCCCAACTGGGCCATGGCACTTCTGATCACCCTCATCGTTGTGGCAACCCTGCCCATCCCTGTGGTGTTCGTCCTGCGGCACTTCCACCTGCTCTCCGATGGCTCCAACACCCTCTCTGTGTCCTACAAGAAGGGCCGCATGATGAAGGATGTCTCCAACCTGGAGGAGAACGATGAGACCCGCTTCATCCTCAGCAAGGTGCCCAGCGAGGCACCCTCCCCCATGCCCACCCACCGCTCCTACCTGGGGCCTGGCAGCACATCACCCCTGGAGAGCAGTGGCAACCCCAATGGACGCTATGGAAGCGGCTACCTCCTGGCCAGCACCCCTGAGTCAGAGCTGTGACCACTGCCCCAACCCTGCCCACCTCTCCCACCACGCCCAACCTGCCCACTGGTCTGGGCCTGGCCTCTTCCTTCACAGTGGCCACCAGCCCCAGGCCAGCCCCTCTGCCCAAGGAGAGAGGGTCACATCCTGCCTCATTCCCATCCCAATCCTGGTAGACTCTGCTCCCTAGCCCTGATCAGGGAGCTGGGAGCAGCACTGTCCCCCAATCCATCTAACCCTTAGAATCTTTCACCAAATTGCAGCCATGTAACCAGAACAATCAAGATGTCCTGATTCCCAGTTCAGAGAAGATTCCAAATGGCTACTTTGGAGGTCATTCCATCCTCCTCTCTCCTTGCAACCTGCCACCTGAAGTTCTGGGGTGTGGGAGAGGGTCCCCCTGTACTATCAGGTGGTGGTGGGGAGAGGCCTCAGGGCCTGGGGGCAGAGTGTGCCATAAGAACAGGACTCACCCTCCTGCCCAACCCAGACTGTCTGCTGCTGGGCCAAGAGGCTGCCTGATTAAAGGCTGGGTTGGAGGACAGGTGTGCCAGGAGTGTGCAGAAGCTCCCAAGACCTGTTTTGTGAGGAAGGTGGTACCCCTAGCTTGAACAAGAATCTTGGCACCAAAGGGGACTTGTTGGCCCCTGGCTCTAGTTAGAAACTTTGGATGTCCTTGCCCCTGCCTAGGGCAGGTGGGGTATGCTCCTGCATTCTGCCTGGGTGGGCAATGACAAGGTTCAGAACCTCCCCACCTCCATTAGGGCTTAGCCATCTCCCACCCCTTCCATCCAACCTGAAGCCCAGGGTGGTGGCCTCTGCCTTCTTTCTCCAAAGAGAAGGGGACAGTGCAAGGTAAAGTTTCCAGAGCACAGCTTGATGGTTCTCAGCACAATTTGATGGTTTGGAGCACAATTGTGAAGCACACGCCCTCTCCCCTCACCTGGGGCCCAATTTTCTCTCTAGTGGCAGCTTCTCCCCTGGAATGGGCATCCCTGTAGTTCAGGAGCTCACTCCCAGGAAGTCTTGTTCCTGGAGAAAGACAGATAATTTTACTGCCCTTTTTGGGCCACCACTCACCCTCCTCGTTGCACAAGCACAGCCACCAGTGTTGCACGTTGTATGCAGACACCTTGGAAATCCTGCCCAAACTTTCCTGGCCTGTGGTGGGCAGCGCTCTTGGCAATGCCGTGGACATTGGAGGCTGCCAAGGGCAAAGTGGAGCTCTGTCATGCGGCCTAGTGCCTGAAAGAGGCTACAGCTGATGGCAGCAAGCCCACCCTTACCTTCAAGCCTCCCCTGCAAGACGGGCTGCCTGTGAGGATCAGAACCAGATCCTGAATAAATGTCTGCAGAGAGATGGATGGATAGGTGTACAGAGGGATGGACAGATGGATGGATGAGTGGATGAATGGATGGATCAGTGGATGGATAGAAGTCAGTCAGGCTTCATGTCAGCACTCGGGGGGGACAGAGATGGAGCAGGCTACAGTCCTAGGCTTGGGCATCTTCATAGAGGGTGCCAAGTCCCTCGTGTGACCCCGAATACTCTCAGCACTGGGAGGGACAGACTAAGCCCAGGTCCCTTCCTTTACCCCTGAGTCCTCTGCTGCCACGCTCTCCCAGCCTGCCATTCCCCTTACTCAACCCTCCCCGACATCTTCCTCATTTCTAGCCCTCTCAGCTCCACCTGTCCTTCCTGAGTGTTTGAGAGGAAAGGGAGACCCATATTTCCCCAAAGAGAGGCCCTCTCACCTGACAACACCTCCTACCTGGCTCCATGCCTGATCCCAAGCGGAATTAGCAACAGGAAAAGCAAGGCCCCAGGAGAGACTCTGCGCTGTCTATACTGTTCTATATGCTATTTCTATTGTACATTCAATCTGTACATGTGGGTGTAAATGCTGTGAAATGACAAACCCAATATTATACTGTGGCTGGTGGACTATTTTCATCCTCAGTGCTGTACAGATCTATTTTCATTGTATATTTGATATATTTTTAATTTTGTAGCATGGCTGGGCCAGGCCCCAGCCCGCGTGCCTGCGGGAGGAGGCTGCGCTGGGGCTGTCTGCTTGCTCATTGTGGGCTCAGTAGTGTTCATCGTAGACTTGTGCTGTGGGCTGGGCCCTGGCCTGGCAGTGTCTTTGCTGTGTTAGATGTCAGGCGTAGGGCCCAGAGCTTGGTTGTGTGTGTATGTGTGGTATATGTGTGTGTGTGTGTGGTATGTGTGCACATGCGTGGGTGTGGGTGTTTGTAGGGTGCTGACTTGTGACCCTTAGTGTTCGCCATACTCCTGAAGACCATGCTGCCCTCTTCTTCCTCCTCTCAGCTCTCAGCAAGGCCTCAGGACAAGTGCCCCAGAAAGCTTCGGCTTGGGCTTTGATGGTTGCCTTCACATCTCTGGTGGGAGGCAGGGGGA